AAGTTTACTTTTGTTACAGGTGCAATAACAAAAGGCCTTTTAAGTCAGACTTGAAAATCTTTAGGAGAAATTGGCTCCAGCACCGAGGGGTTGAGATATTGATTCTGGCCTCTGGCTCGGTCGAGGAAAAGATGGCTAGATTTCCTTTGAAATGCGCTCCGCATGAGAATATAAAGACTATTGTGTGTTTTCACTCAGGAATAAATTGTTTTGTGACATATCTAGGGCCACCTTTTAAGCTTCAAGCAGCATGCTTCTGTTGAAAGGCGAGTGTTGACTGGGTGGAGCGCATTCCCCTGTTCTCCCAGACTGCCCACACCTCATAGAGGCATTTATTGAAAGTTAAATCTCCTTCTGAGAGTTGGCAGCTCCTCTTTGGAATATCTATTTCAGCAGCTGTTGAGTCTGATTATATGCGGGTTGTGCCACACACTGGCAGCGACACGCACCTCCCGCAGGGGGAAGAACTATTATGATGCTTGTGACTGATGCGTTCGTCTGCATGAATTTGTACAGTCAGAGATGCTTGTTTGTACTGCTGACACACCACATGTTGTCTGTGATGTGTTTTGTTTTTGATTTACTACACACCGGCAAAGTCGCACACACTTAAAATAAACTTCTTGTAACGCGCGGCATTTGCGGGAGCCTTGGGCTTTGATGTTCTTGGCGGAACAGTTGCATGGTAGGTCAATAGACAGATTCAGGCGTTATTGAAGAATTTTCCAACACAGAGGGATCAAAGTGGCTCCGACTGATTTATTGCTTGTTCACACCGTTAACCTGTCTTCCTAATAGCTGGTCTTCATCAATGAGTTTGAGGATTGGATTTATGCAGCGTGAATCACAAACCAAACTAAAAAACATGTGATTTTGTCTATTTTCACCACATGGATTGTCATTTGAAACAGAAAAAATCCTAAATAAATCGTTTTTCATGCATTTCTTTTTGAAACAAATCGATTACTGTTAACAGAGCAGGGTTCTTAGTGGTTTGTTTTAATTTGCTCACTGAGTCTCCTTCATTTTCCTGATCCATTATTGAAACATTTGTGACATTTTAAAAAAGAAATAACCTCTCAAAATTAAGCGTGAATCAGGCTCTGTTTGCATTGCATCTTGCATCTTTTTGAAGGTTTTTCCTGCACAATTCTCCCACCGACTTGGAATATGTTTTTCTTCCTGCCAGAGCCATTGATTTAAATATCAAACACTAATAAAAGCCACCTCTTTGGGTCTGTTTGAGCTTCACCACGCTGTTAGAGGGAGGCGGGCGGCACAGGGTACGGGATCTTGAAACCATCGAGGCAAAATATTGATGAAATGGAGCCAGTTCGTTGCGACTCTGCGGCCAAAGACTCGAGTTAATGTGCTTCAAGTTACACTTTGGCAGCACAAATAATGTTATTTATTTGGAGAGCAAGCAGTCTGAGCCACAAGTGAATGGTCTTTTTCAGCGTCACCTTCACAGTTTCCTCGTAAAGGTTGGCAGAACAGTTCGGGTAAATGTTTTTGGCTAACTTTCAGCTTTACATTTACTTAATGTTACACCCTTTACAGGCGGCACATTTCCCATACCGTGGGTATTATCACAAAACTTCCTTTCCAGGATGACGAACCAGCTCCCACTCTATTCTGTAGCGCCAATTAGCAGCTTTTTAAAAATGCTATTGAGTTTGGCATGGATGGTTTGGAAGTTGGAGTTGCTGCCTCACAGCCTCAAATGTGTTGAGATATTCAGCACCGGTCTGCATGTAAAAGTTGGATATGAAGATGAGTCTTTATTTATTCATGTTGTACTTTTCAAAATATGATAGAGAAAAAAGTTGTGGAAGCAAAAAAAAAAAAAAAAGCTGAGCATAACTTTGTGGTCTGAAATATGAAGCCACTGCAGGAACACAACTCTCTTGTCCAGATGGAGGGAAGTGTAACTGTATTGTGATGCTAAACTCAAATGCAGGAATGATCTAAAGGTGTGGAGGTTTTAATTAACAAGGGGTCGAGGTTATTTTGCAGCAAGGCTCATCAAACATCCAGTTTGTCTATCCTTGTGGTGGAAACGCCATTCTAGACGATGCATAAAGTTCAAATATCCATTTATTTAGCAAAATGAAACAATTCTGATTGCAAAGTTTGCACAGATGGACACTAACCTTAACCCTAACGCACATAAATAAAATAAAGTAAAATCTTTAAGGTATGGAACACTGAAAAAACATTTTAATGATTATTTCTGATTATAATCATTCTCTCTATGTTTTCATACAGGCTGAACATGAAAATAGTCTCCTACACCGTTCTCCTACATTAGCCTTTGATAGAAAATAGATGGTGGAACTCTAGGATTAGAAAACTCTGACAGATCTACATCACACTGTCTCTTAACATTCATGGACTCACCCATCTTGGCTCACAATGAGGGAGGCTGTTGTTGGTTTAGCGTCCAGGAAACAGCAGAGGATGTCTCGATTAGTAGAAGCTAACAGTTAGCATTATCAACTCCACCACATGCAGAACTCCTCCAGGCTTGAGTTATTTATGGAGATAAAACATCAGTGTTGCAGAGCAAAAGGAGCCAGTGGTAGGGTCGCATCGCTTTTAACCAATCAGAAGAGAGATGTCCAAATATCAGGAAATAAGACTTAATGCTGTTTTAGGTTCTTCTCCGATCTGGCTTTCTACTAGTTCCTGGTTCAGGTGCATCTCATTTCCTTTTATTATTTGCCCATCAGGTTAATGGAGTAGTTTATGTAGAATGCAAGGCTAACACCAACAAACACTAAACCAGAGGAGTATTGTTGATCGTTAAAACACTGTAATTAAAACAAGTCTCAAGGTTCCATGTTAAACCAAGTTAGCATGGTATCACAACTCGGTATTAAGATGTTTATAGTGCCATAAAGGGCCTAAAATAAAGATGTAACAATTAGGAAACACTTTTCATTATTTATTGAAATTCAGTAAAAACTTTGGAAAACTGGTTTTAAGCTGGTGGTGCAGTTGCTAAAACTGTCACCTCGCAACAAGGAGGTCGCCAGTTTGAATCCCGCCAGCAAAGCCTTTCTGCATGGAGTCAGCATGCATGTGTAGGTTTTCTCCAGGTGCTCCAGCTTCCTCCCATGGACCAAAAACATGCATGTCAGGTTAACTTGGGACTCTAAAGTTTCCCTAGTAAGTGTCTGGCTGGTTGTTTGTCTCTGTTACCTGAAAAAGTCACTAGAATTTTAAAAATCAACTTTCTAAAACAGAACAGAACTAATGTCATTATCTGTTTAATGTTATTGTGTAATTATACAATGTAACATTAAGTAAGTAATAAAATTGGCTCTCACCACCTGTAGATCCTCCACCAGAGGGCCGTAGTAGTGTGTAGGACAGGTTGTGGCAGGTTTTTGATGAAGACACTAATCGTAAGTCTTTGTTATCGTAACTCTTTAAGGCCATAAGTGGTTTAATGCACATTTTCAACAATGGCGTGGAAGAGGTTAATGTGTCCCTTCATTTTGAGCTTTGATTTTCAGCCTTTTATCACGATATGACACCAATACTCATCATGCTAATGTCCCGGATGCGTGCCAGCTCCACACTAATCCCTTCCCAACTATCACATCTTAATTATCAAACTGTAACCTCATCGGTGCTTAGCTGTGATGTTAAGTGTCGCCGTTTCCTGTTGCAAAACTATCAGAAAGTTGTCCACATGGATGTTACTGATCAGTCATCAGTAGAACTATTAAACCTTTCTCACAGACATTGTTCATCTGGCTTCGTTGCAGCCTGGATACGGCCCACTCGTCGGATTTTAACAATAGCTTTCTGGACAAGCTCTCAGCGATGTCACTTTTTTGTTACCTGCGATGCTTTACACACTTTTCTTTGTCCACCCCCTCAGAAAGATGGTGAAAGCAACAAATACATCATCATCAGTTGCCCCGTGGAGCTGGGTATTAATTATCCTGTGTTCTGCGCTCATTTGCACATGTACTGTAAATGTCACCGGAGAGATAAATAGGAAGACAAAAACACCAGCTTGTAGCCTTTATGCAGCAGAATGTCAGAGGGAGCTTGTAAGAGATGAGATATTGGTTTTGGCCAGGCGTCGACTCTGAGTCAAAGGACATTCCCAGAAGCAATCAAATCTGTATGTCGTCTCTGTTTTGAAGCTGACTAACTGCCTGCCAGCAAATGTTTTCGTGTCCTGGATTTGGATTCGTTTTTGGCAAGAAACGTAATAATGCAGCACTCATCTGTTATTAACAAATATAATTACAAATCTGAAGCAAGGCTGTGTTTTGTCCAAGTCACCTGCCTCGTCTGGAAACGACCTCCCGCCATCTCAAAGCCATCTTTATATTTCATGTTTTTGTATTCGGGACGAACGCCTTCCAGCCACATGCTGCTCTGACATTCCTCTTTTGTAGATTTATGAGTGGATTGAAAAGCACTTTGGGGCAAGGAGGGGAAAAAATCAACTTCCACATTCTTTGTGTGGCCTTTAAGGTGCGAGAAATAAAGGGGTATTTGTATTAATCGATCACACGCCAAGCTTGGTTGAAGTCTGGCTCTAATGGCTGCTTGCTGTCATTTTGCAAGCAGCTTGTAAAAAGGATTAGAGTGGCTCCATGGAGTAGGAGTGCATGAACAGCAAACTTCTGTGGCCGGCAAGGCAAAATAAATCAATTCATGCTCGTTGGTGGTGCAGTTTGGGAACATAATGTCTAACGATGATGGAGTTTGGACACTTCATACTTGTCATTGTAAAATTGGACTGCCTTGCCGCTAATGATGGTAATGTATGTTGTGCCTCGCCTGCTACAGTAATCCTTCATTCTGTCTCACTTAAATGCATCTCATTGTCTTGCATATTGCATCATGAATACTGCCAGGAAGGAAAAAAAAGGGAGAAGAATTTAATTTATATATGCATTCATTTGAGCAGCGAGTTAATGGTAAAAATGGAAATAATTTTCTCTTTTTTTTTCATTCTTTATTTGTCACAGGCGACTGTAGCTTTGAGAAACCGCTGGCAGCGTGTGGGTACAGCCAAGGCCGAGATGATGACCTTGACTGGGAGCAGGTCACCACCAGAGAGAAGACGTCATCAGAGCCATGGATGCCCTCAGGTAAAGAGGGTGACTCTAGCTGAGTTATGAAAGGCAGGATTCTCTGGTGACGATGAAAAATCAACACAATAAAGGAAATCTCTTTAAAATGTTTGAATCAGTGACAGAATAACATTTTGTAACTCTGACCACGAGCCTCCCATCGACATATAAATATTGGACAATGGGTTTCCAAAGGCTCCAATAATAAGTTTTTGTACTAAAATGGGAGGTGGCCACCACCGCCATTTTGACCGTATCACAGGTTCCGTCAAGCCCAGACAATTCCACAAAATGGAAGAGAGGTGGAGCTGAGGGTGGGGCTGTAAGGCTGGGATCAACTGACGACACCCGGTCGAACTAGCTACAAGCTAACCTGAAGCTAACCTAAAGCTAACACGGAGGTGGGAGCTAAGCTAACGGAAGTAGTAACCTAGCTACAACCGGAGTTAACTGTGCACAACACCAGAGCTTCTGAGTCAGAGATGAGCCAGGCTGACCGCTGGGTAAAACCGGGTGGACCACAGAGGTCTCCGAGAGCTCCACAAGCAGGCAGCCGCACAGCAGACAAGCGCCGCTGCGATCAGAGATGCGCAGAGCTGCCGCTGGGGAGAACCGGGTGGAAAGGTTTCCATCCCAGAGCTCCACAAGCCGGCAGCCCGCGCAGCAGACAGAAGCCGCGATCAGACAGAGATGCGTCGAGCTGCGGGGAGGGGAGAAGAGCTCCACAAGCCGATTGTCAGAACCCAGCTCCACCAACATGTTATATTTCAACCCATTTTCTAAAGTGCAGCATTATGTTAAATGCACTGGGTTTTACCCTATTACATTTAAATTTCATGGTTAAACAGTACATGTTAAAATCTAAGCTCAGCTCGGCAGTGACCTAAAATACATAAATATAATTTTACTTACCGAAAAAAATGAAGTGGAGACTCCTTGGATGCTCTATTAGTGCAATTAATGCCACAGCAAGTCATTTTGTCCAACAATTGCACAAATAATATCCAAAAAAGAACGCACAAACACTACAACTAATGGTCTAAGTTGAGAGACTGAAACTGACCGAACAGTTTCCAGGCGAGGCCGAGGCTCAGGCTGAGGCCTTTCCCCGGAGCTAGCTCTGCGGTCACGTGGGTCTGATGCTCATTAATTATACAGAATTTTAGGCTTTTAATACACTTAAACAGAAGAATGAGAAAAAAATTCACCCCCCTCAGAGTTGTCATGAGTGTAAACTAGATAATTTAAACCAAAAACATGTTTTGGAACTAGGCTGTAAACATGTTTATTTCTGCTGTGAAATTGGTATTTTTAACATGGGAGTCAATGAGGATTTGCTCGCTTCTGACACCAGCCCCCAGCGGATGAGGGTGGAACTGCAATTTATTTCACTTTCGCGTTTGCCTCAATTTTTCACCCGCATTGTGGGGGCTTGGAGCATCCTTAGCTCCCTAAAGAAAAGTGCATAGATTGTCTTTACTTTTGTCATCACAACAAAATGTAGCAACAACAAACAAAGAAAATAAATTTCATTTAAATTAGATCTGAACCACTTTTGTCATAATACAGCTTGAAGGAAATGCATGACAATTTAATCCCACTTAAATTAATTTAAAACCAGCTACGAACTGGTTAAAGGAATTTTATTTAAGTACCTTCAAGTTTGTAACAGATCCACAAAGAAACCACGACTAAATGGGTCTCACACAGCCTCATTCAGACTCTGCAAAAACACCTTGTAAAGGGTTTGATTCATACAGTACTTTTTATTATGTATTTGCTCTTTATATAAACTGTTTTACAGTGGGGCAAAAAAGTATTTAGTCAGCCACCGATTGTGCAAGTTCTCCCACTTAAAATGATGACAGAGGTCAGTAATTTTCATCATAGGTACACTTTAACTGTGAGAGACAGAATGTGAAAAAAATCCATGAATTCACATGGCAGGATTTTTAAAGAATTTATTTGTAAATCAGGGTGGAAAATAAGTCTTTGGTCAATAACAAAAATTCAACTCAATACTTTGTAACATAACCTTTGTTGGCAATAACAGAGGTCAAACGATTACTATAGGTCTTTACCAGGTTTGCACACACAGTAGCTGGTATTTTGGCCCATTCCTCCATGCAGATCTTCTCGAGAGCAGTGATGTTTTGGGGCTGTCGCCGAGGAACACGGACTTTCAACTCCCTCCACAGATTTTCTATGGGGTTGAGGTCTGGAGACTGGCTAGGCCACTCCAGGACTTTCAAATGCTTCTTATGGAGCCACTCCTTTGTTGCCCGGGCGGTGTGTTTGGGATCATTGTTGTGTTGGAAGACCCAGCCACGTTTCATCTTCAAAGCTCTCACTGATGGAAAGAGGTTTTGGCTCAGAATCTCACGACACATGGCCCCATTCATTCTGTCCTTAACACTTTTTCCAAAGTCAAGTTTTGACCTCTGCTCTTTTTACCATCCAAAAACAATATTACACTATATTAAATTGACACTGGTTGAGCTCTAGGACCAAGCAGAAAACAACCGTTTGTGTTGAAGCCTGTTTCCCATTAGAGCACACTGTAAAGATACCACCCATGCCCCCCCCCCCCCCCCCACACACACACACTTCTAGAGATAAAATTACGTCCATGTTTGAAGGAGTCACTGCCTTGCTGAAGGACACTTAAAGAGCAAGTCATCCCAAATCAACCTTTTTTTGCTGATAAACTATAAATGAGAGTCTAATCGTGCTGTAGACACGCGTAGTCAATAATTTGGCACTTAAGTGCATCTTAGTTAAAATTTATATATTCTGCATGAAACTCAGTGTTGTGCCGTCTTCAGGTAAAAACGCTACACTGCATCTTGCTATTGGTTAAGAGGTGCACTATGACGTTAGCTGGTACATTATGATGTCACAATGTCATTGTGAGTCTCTGTGTGTGTATTTGTTAACAGCTCTGCCCTCTTGGCCTGCCATGCAACAGCATTTGTTGCACTTTTCAAACAGGAAGTGGGAGTGGAGTAGACTCTAGTAGGGGGTGACTTGCTCTTTAAGCATTTGGCAGCATGGAGATCAAATCCTCTTTAAGATCTTGCAGCCACTCAACCCTTGAGCTAATGTTGCTCCCAAATACTTCACCTGGCATTGTGTATAAATATAGTTGAGTATCATCTGCAAAAGAGTGAATTCTGATTTAAACTCCTCATGCAGGTGACTACAGCACAACTTGCAGACACTATTCTCTGGCTGTTAGTGTTGAATCAAATGATTTTCTTCATATTTGACTTGTTCAACTGCTTGTTAAAGGAGACAGATTGTGACTTTTTAATACACTAATTGTAAATAGGTCTATAGGTGTTTACAAAATGTGTTTAAGATTTTTTTCATGAAGGTCCTCTCATCTAAAGTGATTTCAGCAGTTTTATACCATTTTCAGTACCTTCCAGAATGAACCAATGCAGGGCTTTCACTTTAAGAAAACAAGCTGCTGCTGGTCACATCCACCCATCCCTCACACAAGCTGCTGTAGGCTGAGAAGCTCTGTTATCGGGGAGTAGTATAGAAGTAGTGTTGCTAGTTTAGCAACTTTGTTGCTATTTTGAATGAATTTTCAGTGCCTATTTTGGAAATTTAGCAATAATTCTGAGGACCTTAGCTACTTCCTGCAGAACTTTGTTGACATGCCCTGCAGATGAGCGAAAGACGCAGCTTACTCTACATTTGGACCGTCCAGATGCCTGGATAGGGAATGATCTGTGCATGCGGATGCAGCATGGCCACTATACACCAACTGACCAATCATAAATGTGTAGATATGGCTGGATTTCTGTGTGCAGCATTTATATAATTTAATTATTCTTTTATTGTCGGTAAGAAGGAAATTACCCTGGAATACTGCTGTAAAGTGTTGGTTCTTTCCAATCACCACTTGCAGATGTAATCTTTTTGATGAGAAATTCTTTTTCATCCATATTTACAATCTTTCGTTACTTAATTTATTTATTTATTTTTAGCTGAGCAGCCCCCATCATACCACAGAAACAGTTGCCTTAATTTGCATATCAGTGAAGAAAACAGTATGTAGGAATGTTGCAACCCGTTGTCTGACAAACAGTAGCTGGTTGTAAATACAGGCGAGATTAAAGCATCTGTTGAAGGTCAAACTGAGAACCATGTACAGTATAGAGGGGGAAATGCAATTTGAGAGACTTAGATTTGAAAATAGCTGCATTAGGAAAAAAAATCCTCCCCTAAAGCTTATTTCTAGGATCTTTGGTGAATTGTTAGGGGGCATGCTTGAAAGGATGTTTTGGGTTTCGTGACTATAGATGGCATCCTTAGCAGCAGCTGTTTGTATGAATGCAGTTTATGTTCAACACAACTGCTGAGCTAATGGCTAGACCAGAGGGTATCACTGCTGTCTTAGGCAGTTTTGCTAGCTTTTAGCAACCACTATTGTCCGAAGCGAGATCAAAACTTATCTCCTCGCTGTGCTTTCGTTGTTTTAACACCTTAATCTAACAACTGAAACGTTCCAAAGTGTCTAGAGGAGCGGTTTGTCACTAAATTAAACAAATCAGCTGTGTTCATGATCTAAAACATGCAGGAAATGTGCTGAAGTCAGACAGCAGTGCCAGATAGGTCACCAAATTTTTTTTTTCTAAGTCCCACCAGAGCATAGTGGAATATACTGGCCACAGGGGACGGGTGTAAAGGGTCATTTTAGCACAGACTGGCTCAAGAAACTGATTTTAAAATATGAAAAAGTTGCTAAGTTATCCCTTTAAAACAACTCCAGTTTCTCAAGTCATTACAAGTGCTGTTTTATAAATGTCTAAGTTTTTTATTGGGCATAAATATTGATAAGTCTTGACTTTTGGATACAACAAAAGCACAATAGATGCAGACTTAATACAATGACTGGTTTATTTAATAGAACACCAACAGAAACTTAATATCCTCAGTAAAATAAAAAATTTTCATTGCACAACAAACTTACAGTATTTTTCTTTGCAGAGAACCACATCTGCTCC